TCTTTATTGGGGTATAATTGCTTTACAATGGTGTCTTAGTTTCTGCTTTATAACAAAGTGAATCAGTTATACATATACATATGTTCCCATATCTCTTCCCTCATGCGTCTCCCTCCCTATCCCACCCCTCCAGGCGGTCACAAAGCACTGAGCTGATCTCCCAGTGCTATGCGGCTGCTTCCCACTAGCTATCTACCTTACGTTTGGTAGTGTATATATGTCCATGCCTCTCTCTCGCTTTGTCGCAGCTCACCCTTCCCCCTCCCCATAGCCTCAAGTCCGTTCTCCAGTAGATCTGTGTCTTTATTCCTGTCTTACCCCGAGGTTCTTCATGACATTTTTTTCCTCTTAAATTCCATATATATGTGTTAGCATACGGTATTTGTCTTTCTCTTTCTGACTTACTTCACTCTGTATGACAGACTCTAGGTCTATCCACCTCATTACAAACAGCTCAATTTCGTTTCTTTTTATGGCTGAGTAATATTCCATTGTATATATGTGCCACATCTTCTTTATCCACTCATCCGATGATGGGCACTTAGGTTGTCTCCATCTCCGGGCTATTGTAAATAGAGCTGCAATGAACATTTTGGTACATGACTCTTTTTGAATTATGGTTTTCTCAGGGTATATGCCCAGTAGTGGGATTGCTGGGTCATATGGTAGTTCTATTTGTAGTTTTTTAAGGAACCTCCATACTGTTCTCCGTAGTGGCTGAACCAATTCACATTCCCACCAGCAGTGCAAGAGTGTTCCCTTTTCTCCACACCCTCTCCAGCATTTATTGTTTCTAGATTTTTTGATGATGGCCATTCTGACTGGTGTGAGATGATATCTCATTGTAGTTTTGATTTGCATTTCTCTAATGATTAATGATGTTGAGCATTCTTTCATGTGTTTGTTGGCAGTCTGTATATCTTCTTTGGAGAAATGTCTATTTAGGTCTTCTGCCCATTTTTGGATTGGGTTGTTTGTTTTTTTGTTATTGAGCTGCATGAGCTGCTTGTAAATTTTGGAAATTAATCCTTTGTCAGTTGCTTCATTTGCAAATATTTTCTCCCATTCTGAGGGTTGTCTTTTGGTCTTGTTTATGGTTTCCTTTGCTGTGCAAAAGCTTTGAAGTTTCATTAGGTCCCATTTGTTTATTTTTGTTTTTATTTCCATTTCTCTAGGAGGTGGGTCAAAAAGGACCTTGCTGTGATTTATGTCATAGAGTGTTCTGCCTATGTTTTCCTCTAAGAGTTTGATAGTTTCTGGCCTTACATTTAGGTCTTTAATCCATTTTGAGCTTATTTTTGTGTATGGTGTTAGGGAGTGATCTAATCTCATACTTTTACATGTACCTGTCCAGTTTTCCCAGCACCACTTATTGAAGAGGCTGTCCTTTCTCCACTGTACATTCCTGCCTCCTTTATCAAAGATAAGGTGACCATATGTGCGTGGGTTTATCTCTGGACTTTCTATCCTGTTCCATTGATCTATCTTTCTGTTTTTGTGCCAGTTCCATACTGTCTTGATTACTGTAGCTTTGTAGTATAGTCTGAAGTCAGGGAGCCTGATTCCTCCAGCTCCGTTTTTCATTCTCAAGATTGCTTTGGCTATTCGGGGTCTTCTGTGTTTCCATACAAATTGTGAAATTTTCTGTTCTAGTTCTGTGAAAAATGCCAGTGGTAGTTTGATAGGGATTGCATTGAATCTGTAGATTGCTTTGGGTAGTAGAGTCATTTTCACAATGTTGATTCTTCCAATCCAAGAACATGGTATATCTCTCCATCTATTTGTATCATCTTTAATTTCTTTCATCAGTGTGTCTTATAATTTTCTGCATACAGGTCTTTTGTCTCCTTAGGTAGGTTTATTCCTAGATATTTTATTTTTTGTTGCAATGGTAAATGGGAGTGTTTTCTTGATTTCACTTTCAGATTTTTCATCATTAGTGTATAGGAATGCCAGAGATTTCTGTGCATTAATTTTGTATCCTGCTACTTTATCAAATTCATTGATTAGCTCTAGTAGTTTTCTTGTAGCATCTTTAGGATTCTCTGTGTATAGTATCATGTCATCTGCTAACAGTGACAGCTTTACTTCTTCTTTTCTGATTTGGATTCCTTTTAGTTCCTTTTCTTCTCTGATTGCTGTGGCTAAAACTTCCAAAACTATGTTGAATAAGAGTGGTGAGAGTGGGCAACCTTGTCTTGTTCCTGATCTTAGTGGAAATGCTTTCAGTTTTTCACCATTGAGGATAATGTTGGCTGTGAGTTTGTCATATATGGCCTTTATTATGTTGAGGAAAGTTCCCTCTATGCCTACTTTCTGCAGGGTTTTTATCATAAATGGGTGTTGAATTTTGTCGAAAGCTTTCTCTGCATCTATTGAGATGATCATATGGTTTTTCTCCTTCAATTTGTTAATGTAGTGTATCACATTGATTGATTTGTGTATATTGAAGAATCCTTGCATTCCTGGAATAAACCCTACTTGATCATGGTGTATGATCCTTTTAATGTGCTGTTGGATTCTGTTTGCTAGTATTTTGTTGAGGATTTTTGCATCTATGTTCACCAGTGATATTGGCCTGTAGTTTTCTTTGTGACATCCTTGTCTGGTTTTGGTATCAAGGTGATGGTGGCCTCGTAGAAGGAATTTGGGAGTGTTCCTCCCTCTGCTATATTTTGGAAGAGTTTGAGAAGGATAGGTGTTAGCTCTTCTCTAAATGTTTGATAGAATTCGCCTGTGAAGCCATCTGGTCCTGGGCTTTTGTCTGTTGGAAGATTTTTAATCACAGTTTCAATTTCAGTGCTTGTGATTGGTCTGTTCATATTTTCTATTTCTTCCTGATTCAGTCTTGGCAGGTTGTGCATTTCTAAGAATTTGTCCATTTCTTCCAGGTTGTCCATCTTATTGGCATAGAGTTGCTTGTAGTAATCTCTCATGATCTTTTGTATTTCTGCAGTGTCAGTTGTTACTTCTCCTTTTTCATTTCTGATTCTATTGATTTGAGTCTTCTCCCTTTTTTTCTTGATGAGTCTGGCTAATGGTTTATCTATTTTGTTTATCTTCTCAGAGAACCAGCTTTTAGTTTTATTGATCTTTGCTATTGTTTCCTTCATTTCTTTTTCATTTATTTCTGATCTGATATTTTTGATTTCTTTCCTTCTGCTAACTTTGGGGTTTTTTTGTTCTTCTTTCTCTAATTGCTTTAGGTGCAAGGTTAGGTTGTTAATTCGAGATGTTTCCTGTTTCTTAAGTTGGGCTTGTATTGCTATAAACTTCCCTTTTAGAACTGCTTTTGCTGCATCCCATAGGTTTTGGGTCATCGTGTCTCCATTGTCATTTGTTTCTAGGTATTTTTTGATTTCCTCTTTGATTTCTTCAGTGATCACTTGGTTATTAAGTAGTATATTGTTTAGCCTCCGTGTGTTTGTATTTTTTACAGATCTTTTCCTGTAATTGATATCTAGTCTCATAGCGTTGTGGTCGGCAAAGATACTTGATACAATTTCAGTTTTCTTAAATTTACCAAGGCTTGATTTGTGACCCAAGATATGATCTATCCTGGAGAATGTTCCATGGGCACTTGAGAAAAATGTGTATTCTGTTGTTTTTGGATGGAGTGTCCTATAAATATCAATTAAGTCCATCTTGTTTAATGTATCATTTAAAGCTTGTGTTTCCTTATTTATTTTCATTTTGGATGATCTGTTCTTTGGTGAAAGTGGGGTGTTCAAGTTCCCTACTATGAATGTGTTACTGTTGATTTCCCCTTTTATGGCTGTTAGTATTTGCCTTATGTATTGAGGTGCTCCTATGTTGGGTGCATAAATATTTACAATTGTTATATCTTCTTCTTGGATCGATTCCTTGATCATTATTGTCCTTCTTTGTCTCTTCTAATAGTCTTTATTTTAAAGTCTATTTTGTCTGATATAAGAACTGCTACTCCAGCTTTGTTTTGGTTTCCATTTGCATGGCATATCTTTTTCCATCCCCTCACTTTCAGTCTGTATGTGTCTCTAGGTCTGAAGTGGGTCTCTTGTAGACAGCATATATATGGGTCTTGTTTTTGTATCCATTCAGCCAATCTGTGTCTTTTGGTGGGAGCATTTAGGCCATTTACATTTAACGTAATTATTGATATGTATGTTCCTATTCCCATTTTCCTAATTGTTTTGGGTTCGTTTTTTTAGGTCTTTTCCTTCTCTTGTGTTTCTTGTCTAGAGAAGTTCCTTTAGCATTTGTTGTAAAGCTGGTTTGGTGGTGCTGAACTCTCTCAGCTTTTGCTTGTCTGTAAAGGTTTTAATTTCTCCATCAAATCTGAATGAGATCCTTGCTGGTTAGAGTAATCTTGGTTGCAGGTTTTTCTCCTTCATCACTTTAAATATGTCCTGCCAGTCCCTTCTGGTTTGCAGAGTTTCTGCTGAAAGATCAGCTGTTAACCTTATGGGGATTCCCTTGTGTGTTATTTGTTGTTTTTCCCTTGCTGCTTTTAATATGCTTTCTTTGTATTTAATTTTTGACGGTTTGATTAATATGTGTCTTGGCATATTTCTCCTTGGATTTATCTTGTATGGGACTCTCTGTGCTTCCTGGACTTGATTAACTATTTCCTTTCCCATATTAGGGAAGTTTTCAACTATAATCTCTTCAAATATTTTCTCAGTCCCTTTCTTTTTCTCTTCTTCTTCTGGATCCCCTGTAATTCGAATGTTGGTGCGTTTAATGTTGTCCCAGAGGTCTCTGAGACTGTCGTCAGTTCTTTTCATTCTTTTTTCTTTATTCTGCTCTGCAGTAGTTATTTCCACTATTCTATCTTCCAGGTCACTTATGCGTTCTTCTGCCTCAGTTATTCTGCTATTGTTCCCATCGAGAGTATTTTTCATTTCATTTATTGTGCTGTTCATCGTTGTTTGTTTCATCTTTAGTTCTTCTAGGTCCTTGTTAAATGTTTCTTGCATTTTGTCTATTCTATTTCCAAGATTTTGGATCATCTTTACTATCATTATTCTGAATTCTTTTTCAGGTAGACTGCCTATTTCCTCTTCATTTGTTAGGTCTGGTGGGTTTTTATCTTGCTCCTTCATCTGCAGTGTGATTTTCTGTCTTCTCATTTTGCTTATCTTACTGTGTTTGGGGTCTCCTTTTTGCAGGCTGCAGGTTCGTAGTTCCCGTTGTTTTTGGTGTCTGTCCCCAGTGGCTAAGGTTGGTTCAGTGTGTTGTGTAGGCTTCCTGGTGGAGGGGACTAGTGCCTGTGTTCTGGTGGATGAGGCTGGATCTTGTCTCTCTGGTGGGCAGGTCCACGTCTGGTGGTGGGTTTTGGGGTGTCTGTGGACTTATTATGATTTTAGGCAGCCTCTCTGCTAATGGGTGGGGTTGTGTTCCTGTCTTGCTAGTTGTTTGGCATAGGGTGTCCAGCACTGTAGCTTGCTGGTCGTTGAGTGAAGCTGGGTGCTGCTGTTGAGATGGAGATCTCTGGGAGATTTTCGCTGTTTGATATTATGTGGAGCTGGGAGGTCTCTTGTGGACCAGTGTCCTGAAGTTGGCTCTCCCACCTCAGAGGCACAGCACTGATTCCTGGCTGCAGCACCAAGAGCCTTTCATCCACACGGCTGGAGATGGCATCAGATTCCATGGGTCCAGGGCTCAGTGCTTTGCGACTGCCCTCCCTCCTGCTTCAGACAGCAATCAATCACCAGTCGAGTCTTTTGGGAGGTCTGACGTCTTCTGCCAGCATTCAGTAGGTGTTCTGTAGGAGTTGTTCCACGTGTAGATGTATTTCTGGTGTATTTCTGATGTATTTGTGGGGAGGAAGATGATTTCTGCGTCTTACTCGTCTGCCATCTTTGTCGCTGTCTCCGCATTTTCTTCCCTTTAGGATGTGATCATGAATTGCATTTAGTTCTCATATCTTTTCAGTCTCCTTTCATCTAAAACAGCTTCTCAGCCTTTTAAAAGTATTTTGTGAGATTAACATTTTTCATGAACACCGAACCCCTTTTTTTAATAAAATGTTTCTTGTTTGGGGTTTATCTGAAGTTTTCTTTTAATTAAATTCAGGTTATTGCATCTTCTGTCAGAACACTACATAAGTGATGTTGTGTCCCTCTCAGAGTATGACATCCAAAGGTTCAATTTATTTTTAAAGTTTTTGCTCCACCCATCCCACCATCCTGCATTCAGTGTACAGCACACTATTAGGTATAAAAAATAGGCAGAAAACCTTCTTTCTCACCCCTGACTTGAAGAACAAAATTTTTTCTATAATTGTGACTCTTAAATATATATTAAGTATATATTATTTTTTGAAACCCTAAATATCAAGTATAAAAGTGAAATTTATGGTGTCCACCCTCACTGTACTGATCATACACAAATTAGATAAAGCTATTGTTTTGTAAAAGATGAGAGTTGAGTTTTCTTATTTGAAAATACTACTGTAAAATCCCATTTTTAAAATTTGATTTTATACAGAGCGGGAAAGAGAAGAACTTGCTAAAAAGCAAAAGGAAAAGACATCTTTGTTGGAGAGAGAAGAAAAGCCAGTGTTGGAAACTGGAAGATACCGAATGGAAACCTACCACATTCAAAATACTGATAAATTGGAAGAAGAGGAAGAAGAAAGGCTAAAGAGAGAAATGCTACTTGCTAAACTGAATGCAATCAGCAGAGAACTCCAAGGTTCTCGGAATCTAAAATATCCTTCTCTGCCATTGCTTCGTGATTTGGAATCAAAACTGCGCTCCCCAGAGAGAAACCCCAAAACACACACATTCTTTGAATCCTCGGAGAGATTATTTAATGGGCATCATTTGCAAGACATCAGTCTTTTCAGTACAAAAGGCGATGGTCAGAATCCGGGCAGTATCAGAAAACCAGCCTCTCCAGATGGGCTTGCATTTGGTAGCTATGTGCCTTCATTTGCGAAAACATTAGGCAAGTCAAGTCCAGTTAGCCACAAGAGTAGCCTTTTGGATTTCCAAAGAAACAATATAGAGAAATTTAGTAAAGACAGTGTCGATTTAATTACAAGAAAAGAGAAAAAAGCTAATCTGATGGAACAGCTATTTGGTGCCAGTGGCGGCAGCGGCATTTCCTCTAAAAGCAGTGACCCAAATTCTCTGGCTGCCACCAATGGAGACTTTGACCCTCTAAATTTTCTCCCTGGGGATAAAAGCAGCAGGGGTAGGGAATATGATGATGACGATGACTTTTTCTTCAGCGAAGGAAATAGTTTTAATCCAAATAGACACCAATTAAAACATGCAAACAATAAACCAGCAGTAAAAGGTGATTCTGTAGAAGATGAAATTGAAGAAGTAGCACTGAGATGACTGACTAGAGTATATATTTTTTCCAATTGTAAATATTAAAATGTTTTAATACAGTATTTATTTTATTATAAACAGAGTTTTTAATAAATATTATTAAGTCCTTATTAAGCAATAGTTTTAAAAGTATAAATACAGCGGAAATAAAAAGATCATATCACACCGCATAGCTAGTTTGCCAAGAATGAAGCATGCTCTTTTGACTGAAACTGAAAATAGAGATGCATCTTACTTTCTTTTTACAAATAGGTTTTACGTCTGAATCAGCTCAGTGGGGAGTTTTATTCCATTGGAGTACGTATTCATTTTCTATTTTATCCCTATTTATTTATTTATTTTTGGCCCTATCCTCTCTGAGCTAAATACAGTCTTCCTGCTGATAGTCGAATGGAAATGAAGAGTGAGAGGCTCTGTTGGGAAGTGTGGCAAGGCTGAGGGTACTCTTAAGTGGAACAGTGACAACATGGGGACTTCCCATTCCTCTGGAAGCAACCACAGTTAAATGCTACTCATTTCCCAATTACAGAGTCTCGTTAAATCACTTACCTACAACTGTGCTAATACATTAGGTTGAATTCAGAAGATGTTTGTTTGGGTGGACAGTTCCCTGTCATGGCTCCCAGAGGCTTGGGTGCAGTGTAGTCAGTAATTCGTCTTCTTGATCTCCTACGCTTTTTATATCTCAGTGACTAGATGTGAGAGTTCATACCAAATACACGGAACAGAAGAAATTTCATCCCAAAATAGCAAGATTTTCAACTCAATTATGTTTCCAGAGTAACGTAACTAGGAAATTTTAATACGTACTTTTAAGATTTGAACTTACTGTCAAACCAAAGAGACAACGATAGTGTGATACTATTGGACTTACAGGGCTAATTTTAAAGCAACCTTGGTAAAAATTGTTTAAGAGATGGGGCTCCTGCCTTGCGGAGTAGGGTGGTTGATTTTCTGTTGAAAAGTGTTTGGTCTTCTGCTGTTTGTAGCTCACTTCAGCTGCAAAGGAGTTGATGACCTTGGATTATGCTGGGCATGATTGGTCTTTAAGAAACAGTAATACACCACCAACCAAGGAGAAAACACAGTTCAGATGAAGAGTGGTGGAAATAGTGTGTCAGGGGAAGAATAAATAACGTTGATTGGCACTTATTCTAAAGTGAACTGTTGTTTTCAAGAATTTACTACATATTTGCTCATAGTATGATTTCTCATGCCAAGCATACATACTGATGAGGAACTAGAGTTACTGTTTTATCTTGAGTTCTTATAAATGCTTATTATTGAATATAATTTCATAATTCTTTGACAAGACTGACCTGGTTAGGTCTCTATTTAAAAGATGTTACCACCTAGCATCTTCTAAATTGTGTTCCTGTTATTTACTGGGAACTGAATCTCTCAAAAGTGCTAAACTATATTAAAAAATTTTTTAATTTTTCTATGACTGATATAAATAAGCATTTAGTATATTGTAAATCATTCTAATATATGTAAACCACAATATTATTGTAGTGCAGTTCTTGATAAAATATTATGTAATGTTAATTTTGTTCATAGCTGCTAATTTTTCAGCCAAAAGTATTCTAATTTTTAGGGTTTTTTGTTCTAAAGACTTTTGTAAAAAGTCCTTTAGTAAAGTTTTATATTCAGGTCATTTTAGTTAGTCTCTTGCTTTTTTCTACCTGATGTTTTCTAGTCTTTTTAACCAGATGCAATAAGGCAGAATTATTAAATTAAACCTAAAATTAAGTTATAGACTTAGCATTATGGTGTTAAGCATTAAAATTGGAGATTATACAGAATAAGTTTTTCTTTATGAACAAACCTTAGTGAATAACTAACTTTTTTTTTCTAAATGTCAAGTTAAATTTATTTGCACTCAGAACTCTTATTAATAAAAATGTAAAACACACTCTTTGTTTGAATGGTACCTTCCTTAAGGTCACTTGGGAAATATATAGTGGAAATAGGACCTGCAGGGTTTTTATTTCATTATTCACCTTTTAAAATTTTCCTATTCAGTATTTTTAGTTGAAGTAGATGAATCTGCCCTAAGTCGGGTTAGACAGTATGCTTAGCCTTATCAGATAATTATAGTCTTAATGAATTCTTTCACGCTTAATAGCTGTCATAATGGCTTATGTTGCTTATAATATTAAAAGTAGGCGGTAAGGGGGACTAGATTGAATCAAAATAAACACTTCAGTGCTGATGCACTGGCTTTCTGATGCTCATCCCCACCTCACTTTCAGACACGCTGAAACTTCTGCTGTCCCTGGCTGGGTGTTAACCTGGGTAGAGCCTGCAAGTCCGTCTGGTGAAAAGGGGATGGGAAACTTGTATTACGGTGACAGTGTGGATTTTTTAGGATTAAAGAAGTTACCATAAATTGTCAAGAAAGGATCTTTTAAAGCTTTTTCCTTTCTACACAATAAATGCCCCTTTCACCTTCAAGTCCCCTTTCGTATCACTTGAAAGTGTTTTTCTGTTCTGGGTTTTGAGCAAAGAGCACGTCATGTATTCATTCACTGACTGCTTGTTTGCGTGCTCCCTGGGGGGTGCGCGGCACGGTATGAGGTGCCGGGAGAGTAAGGCCCTGCCTCTCCCTCAGTGTGGACACGAGCCGGGCCGCATCCCTGCCCTTCCATCCACTCCCTGGGCGTCCTTGGGCTACTTAGCAATTACTAGTCTTTTATAATGCTTCCTAGGGTGGCTATGAGGAGTACCTTAAATACTTAGGTTAATGTTTGGCACAGTGCATGATACATTATAAGCACTCAGTAAACATCAGCTGTTGTTATCACAGTTGTTATGAGTTTCATTTAGGGACTACTTGGAAAAAATAGAGCATAGGTAATGTATACAAAATACATTGACATTATACTCTGAGTAAGATACAAGCAAAAAGAGCTTCTAAACCTCCAAATTAACATACAATATCTGTACTGAATATATTGTGCCTCTTAGGTCTGCACTTAGAATGTCCCTTTATTCGGCACTAACTGTGTATGACTGATGAGCTGGCTTCCTAATCTACAAAAGAGTAAGTAGAACAGCTAAGTTTTGGAACGCTTTTCTGAAGACAGTTTTAGTGACATAAGGAGAGGTAGAGCGCCTCATAGCAAAAAGACAATGAAATCCAGAAAACACCAGACTTGGACTGCAGAATGTGACAATTTGTAGCCCAGCTCCCTCCCCCCTCAATGTCTGTGTGTGTCCTTGGATATGTTCAAAGCCTCTCCATACCGCCCCTCTCCTCTACGAGGTGGGGCTAATGATGGTACCTACCTCATGGTAGTTGCATACAGTAAATGAGTTCATACGTGAAAAATCTTAGAACCATTTGATGCTCAAATTGTTGATGTTCTGGAAAGGTAATGGAGAAAAGGGGGGATGAAGTGGTATTGTTGAATTCTATATATAGAATTGGCGGTTGGTGTTTTTATGTATGTGCTTTTTTCGCGTGATCCTCCCAAAGCTTTTTCTAAAGAAGGCGCTTACTATTGCTCCCATTTGACAGTTGAGACTAACGGGTTGTAATATATGATAGATTACACAGGTAACAGGCTGCATTCAATAGTCTCAATTTAAGAAGTCCAAAGAAATAAAGTATTTTAGGAAGAGTTTTGCAGTAGTGCTCTTTAAGTGGTAAGTGACAGAAACCCAAATAAGACTAGCTTAAGCAGAGCAAGGAAATTAATTTTGGCTTGAATCTGGAAAGCTCAAGAAAATGTGGTTTGCTCCGGAGGTTAAAACAGTAGTGCCTACTCTCCACCTCTTAGCATATCATTTGCTGGGTATCATTTCCAGATAACTTCTGCATTTGCTGACAGTATTGCAATTGGCAGCCCCAAGCCCTAGCATCCCTTCAGCTGGCACCCACCTCAAAAAGAGAAAATCTTTCCTGTAGTTCTGGCAAAGGCCTGCTTGGCTAGTTTACGTTACATGCTCGCCTGTAGGGCTGGTGGCATGTGCATGGGAGGCGTGGACTCCCTACTCTTAGCCCTCTTCCTGGAATGATTGGTATTTCTGTGGGGTGGGGGAGGCATTTTTCCCTGATGAAGACACTTTGGGCATAGAAAAGAAAATCATATTTACTGTATTTCCCAATTAATTTAAAAAATGAATGGCTCTTAACAGAAAAAAACATTGAAAGGCTCTCAATGGAATAAGCTTTAGCTGCTTACTCCATACGCCTTATTCCTAGGAACAGGCCATTTCTGTGATAGGATAGGATTTCACCATGCTTGTGTTAAGAAGTTCACTTTGTTGTTAAAGGTGAGCAATTTCAGCGGTAGGTGAGTCTGCAAGACATTTAAACTACGCTTTTCTACGTTCATAGAAAAGGCTTAGAGATCCAGATACATATTTTCCCATACTAAACGCTACATTTGCGAAATCTATATCTGTATATAAATGAAGACATTCTGTCTCAGTCCAGCACAAAACAAAAATCAGAAATAGGTAGCCAGGGTAGGGTAGAAAGAACACAGGCTTTGGGGTTTGTCACTTGCTAATTACAACCTTGGTCAAATAATTTGACTTAAGGTTCCTCGGATGGGGAGTAGGGCAGATCATGTCTTACAAGGGTTATTGTGAGGATTAATAAAAGGATGTGTTCTTGAGAGAAGAGGATAAGTAAAACAGTGTGGCGTGTCAGCATAGGGAGAGCATCACCTCGTCAGCATTTTACTTCCGTACCAACGCCTCAAACTTGTGTTTAACAGCAGATGCTTGTTAATATGGAATTTTAAAAACTAAACGTGCTATTTCACCCTGTAATCTGCCATCTTTGAAGTGGCTCTTGTCTTTACAGAGCCACGTGGAGGTTACAGTTTTTCCACAGAAGGCACTTTGCTGCTTCTGGGAACAAGCCGCCTGTGGGAGAAGCAGTTTTACACACATAGTTTTGCTTCACTAGCCGTTTCCATGGAGGAGGAATAGATGGAAATCCGGAGCCCACATTGTGTTCTGAAGACAGGGCATTGAAATTCAGGGTGAAGCCTCCCTGCCACAGAGCGAGGATCGCCCTGAATAGCATGGCCAAAAGCAGCTGCCTTGCCTCTCTCTCTGTAACTGACCTAAATATCAAATTTCACAACTCCTGTCCCAGTGGATATTGATCCTGGCTAGGCATACTTTTCATACAATCTATATATATAACAGGACATCATAGATTTCAGATTTTTTTTTTTATCCTGATAAAAAGAACCCAAGAGTTACCCTACCTAGGCAATCGTGGATACTGAAAATTTCTGGGTACACCTGGGAACAAAGGTTTATTGAAGTCCTTTTGTCCTTCTATAAGAACTTAGCCCCAAATCTTAAATTTTGCTTCAATATTTGCTTCTAATTTCAATGATATCTGTACTATTTACTCTCCTAAACACTGACAAAGGACCTCCTTGACTTAATCAGCACATATCTGTTCTTTATTTAAAATATTTTCAGTAAAAACTAGAATCAGTAGAACCAAAGAACAGGGGCCAGGAAAATCTGTCATGTTATCACCTCAAACATTATCACCGGGGTCCAGAAACAATGGCACGCATAACTCTGAAGTCGAGCTTTATCATAAATACGCAGTCCTTGGTTCTAAGCAGGAAATAATGGCATCTCTGTGAACAATAACCACGGTTTTTCTCTTGAAGAACAGATTGAGCTTCATTTAAATAGACACATTTGCTTTAAACTTGAGGCAGTAGTTCTCAAAGTGTGTCCCCAAACCCACCCAGAGCTGCAGCAGTGTCCCCTGAGGAACTTGTTAGAAATGCTAGTTCCCGGGCTCCACTCCAGACCTCTGAAATTAGAAAGTCCAGGGGTGGGTCAGTCTGTATTTGAAGAGGCCCTCCAGGGGATCGCACTGCAGCTGAAGTTTGAGAACTACTGCTCTAACCTAACAATAGGAGGTGGTGGTGAGGGGAAACGTTCCTACACAGACGGAAGTGGCTGCCTGCAAGTTTTTGCAAATTCGAATCTTAGCACTGAGGGCTTGGGGTTACAGTGTGCAGGTGCTGGATCTGGACTCACCTTTGCCCCTCACACTGCGTGCCACCTAGACTAGAAATAAGCCACTTCTTTACGGCTATAACCAGATATGGTCTAACTGTTAGCTCTCTGTGGCTAATATATCAGAAGATTTGAACTAGTCAGGAAAGAGAAACGCCTTTGGAACAACCAGCACCAAAAAGATTAGTTAGTTCATATGTCATTCCTCCATCACAGCCTATAACCCCCAAGCTTCCAGAAAAACATTCCAAACATCCTCCAGCACTCCCTGAAGGAAAACTAATCAATGTGGTTTAAATTTGACATTACATCTAAAAGTTCAGCTTTCTCAGAGTTTGAGAGGTGTGTGTGTGTGTGTGTGCGTATGTGTGTGTGTGTGCTTAATGATCCAGGCAAGTAGCTTTCTGTGCCTGAGGTTTAAGAAATATTAAAATTATCTAAATTAGCCTATATACAGGGAATATGTTAAATAAAAGAAAAATTAGAACTAAGTATTCAGATTTCTCATGTCCACTCCTTAGCATTGCTGAAGACATGTATATAAACAAGAATGCCTATATACATCCAGGGGAAGTTTTTATTTCTAGACAAAGTAGGCCATGTTTTCACAAGTTTGGATTTTGTTTGCTGTACAAAGTCTCCATCTGTCTTTCTCTGGCTTCCTTGATTTATGCATCTGTTACCCAAAAATACCCTACCTCATCTCGGACAGACCTGTTTCTGTGTAATCTGTTATAAACATATATAGATATAGAGATAAAGATGGGGCCGAATATCAGGCCATGTAGAATAACGGTGGTGATTATGGGGAGTCTGGACTGGTGGTTGAAGGACGTAGGACGTAGCAGTGATGAAATTAGCTCTGTTTCCAAATGTGTGCTCAAGAGAAACATGGTTCTCCAGGGCTTAGTTCCCTTACAATGCATCACCACTAGAAAGTGTACATTTAGACAGTGCCTTGAAATGTAGTGGGGTTTCAAGTTTGAGAATATCTATAAAGCTATGATTATTCCAATGTAATTTTGACCCTGGAACTAGCAATCTCTTAGAGTAATAATATATTGGTTCTGACACCCCTACTGCAATCATAACTTTACCAATTTCATTGCTACTCTGCTTCTTGATAAACATGTTCCAGAGTAAAAAGTTCTCTTTATAGTCAAGATAATTCTTCCCTTATGCCCTTTTACCAATAGTTCTCATTTTCACCTGTGGCTTAATTTCTGTTCCTGTTTTTAAGTATCTTTTTGATTAACTGCGAAGTTTGATGGAGACCAGCAGAGTAATTAAATCTGTGTATATTGTCAGCTGGGTCTTTCCTTAGCTGCTGAGAGGTTGCTAGGATACTCTCTTAAAGGTACAATTCTCTTGATTAACTGCAAAACCCAGATTGCCCAAGTAAAATTTTTATTAATTCATAAAAATACAGGTCAGGATTACATTTAAATTTATAGCAAGATGAGCGCTATATATCTCTGGACGCTTTTAGCTTTACAGAAATGTGTGCAGGTACACTTATAAAGAATGTGTTTTTAAACAATTTAGTGGACGAGAATTAGTCACTTTTTTTGAGGGAGAGTGTTCCTTTGTGTTGCACAACATATGTGGATTTGGAGCTGAAAGAATTCTGAATTTTAAATCACCACTAGGAAATACATCTCCATTGTGTCTATAGTACTGCAGAAATCCTATTGTGATTATTATGATTATTATTTACTGGTCTTTTCAATTCCAAAATTTCATAAAGTTGCCATCATTGTCTCTGGTTGATTTAATGAAATAAAATCAAGAAACTTACAAAGAAAAATAACTTCATCTGTAATAGTTTGATGTGATATGGACAGTTGTTTCAGAGGTTAAGTTCTAGCAAATGGTTTAACTAGCTGGCATTTCTTCTAACAGTTGTTTTATGGCTAATAAGTCTCAAAATAACTGTGCCTGAATCTGCTCACTGCCTATCATCAGTTGTCCACTTCTTCATTCATTTAACAAGAGTTTATGGAGATTCTGTTATATAAAATGGAACTTAATAGAAGTCAAAAGAGGAGTTTTGATGACATAAGAGTTTCATTGTGGAGCAATAACTTCTATACTAATGTGGAAAATGGATTAAACTGTTTAGGAATTGCAGATCAGAAATAATGAGAGAATGACATCACCAAGATGGTGACATAGGTCATACCTGATTTGACTCCGTTTCACAAGAAGAACAACTAAGAACTATGCAAGAATAAAACATCACTCAGAGAATCTCAGAACACGGGAGTGAGGTTGAAGCACCTCCTGCACCACACAGACCAAGACAGACTGAATTAAAGGGTGAGAGGAACAGCTACACGTGACCGCATGGCCCTTTCCCTGGGCCGGCACAGCACCGTGCCTACAGCTCCTCCAGTGGCAAAAGAAAACACAGCGGTGACATCCAGCACCGCCAGCACCGGGGGTCACTTCATGGGAACCCCTACTCTGGTTTCATCCCATGGGGCTCACAGGAGCATCTGTGGGCTCAACCGCTGGGAATCTGATTGTGATGGAGAAACGGAGGAGGGGCTTCCAACAAGCAGCACTCGGATCTTGGCAGACTGAGCTCCTGCCTGCAGAGCCCAAAGAGTCA